TTAATCCTGAACATTTACTGAATGCAGCCAATAATATGAATAATGAGTAAGTGTTAGGATGATATAGAAACAAGTAATATACACAGAGTTTTGTTTTGGTGTCTAACCTTTTCAGTCAAATCCTTGTGATTTGAGAACTTACAAAGATTTGAATTACTATGGCAAAGTACATGAGATAAAAGACTCACTTCTACATGATGTTTCCCTGCTACACGTGCAAATTAAAATTTGATAGCAACCAGCTACAAAGTTAGTACACATTTTTGAGGTCTAACTTTATAGCTGGTTGGAGCTTTCTATGGCATGATAGCAGAGATGCGGGGCGGAAAATTTTCCAAGTGCTTTACTTTTCCGTGGAAATTTTTCCATTCCTAAAAATCCATTGTTTCATAAAATTCATAAGTACCAGTGAATGGATGCCAAAACAATATTAGGCAAGTATGGCAGTTTCAAAGTTGTAATTAAGGTTTTTCAGGTGATTATCCCTAGGAGTGTGCGAGAGAGTATATATATATGTTTTATAAATTTGTAAACAGGAGGGTAAATACACACACATAATCATCCAAACCAAAAATCAAATGATGAATTCACCTAATTGGCTGTGCAGGTCAAATCAAAACCAAAGCTAAAATTCTTACTTAATCTCAGACTTCAAGTGAAAGCAAAACCAAAACTAAAACTGATTAAATTTTGTTTCATTTTCAGTTCAGCAAACACGCAGAGCAGTGTCTCATTTCTTTTCTTGACTTGGGGAAGTTGGAAGTGTTTGCATAAAATATGTTAGTTTTTTGAGTGCTTTTGGTTTGAAGTAGTCATAATAATGCCTACCAACCTAATCCCTGAATTCTCCCCACACATTTAAGAGGAAAAAAAACCCTTTCTCCCTATTGATAGACTTTGATCTCCCAGTAATCAGCTACGTTTCTTCTGCTAATTGTTTGTCTGTTACCCCTGGAAATTTCTCCCCCAGCTCTCTCAGAACTGTTTTGTTTTACTATGCTGTGCTGGCTCTCAATGCTCAGACCATTCAAGCCCTATGGCTGGTCCAATCAAAGATACCATCCTAAGAAATCCTTACCTCTTGCATATTAACTACTACTTAGTTTGAAGAAACCTCAGATCTATTTTGGCTATGAATTATTCCACTCACTTCAGATGGGAGCTAAGTCAACAACAGCAATTAACGGTGTTCGCATTACGGTGTTTCACTGTACATGAACGTTTCCAACATAGGAGTCTGGAATTTCCCCAAATGGGAAGGGGGTTCAGTGGTATGGTTTCAGTGGTCCTTCTAAGTTCACCTTTTTATATTCCCTTCCTTCACTGGCAAGGTGGGTTTGATTTCAACAAATCAATTTAAATCACTGGTCAGGAAGCCTCGATTTAATCACTTTTTTCTACAAAAAGTGCATTCTTGTTTTTTTGATATCCTTTATTTGTTTAATTTCTTGAAACTTTGCACTGTTAGAGAAAGGTAAGGGCTTGACTGTGTGTACACAAACTTGCGGAGACAATAGGGCTAATGGGTGGGTAATCAGGTCTGTTATCTCCAGGGATCCTGGTTTTCCCCGATTTAAAAAATCACAAATTCTCTGATAGAAAACCCGAAATCCATGATTAAAATTAAAGGCCCTTCACACCCTCCCCCAGCCCTGATGGTGCCCCTCACTCCCCACAGACACACACCCAAGCAGGTAAAAGTGTGTTGGGGGAAGGGGTGGGGCGGGACAGAGGAAAGGGAAGGGGCTTGGGGGGGGAAGAGGAGGGGAGGAGAGGGGTCTGTGGCTGAGTCCA